GTGCGGCGCAGTGGCGAGAGCCACATTTTGCAAACCACCCGCCCTCCATCCATGAAGCATGTGCTGAAGCGACTGCGCTCGGCGCTAAAGCGGCGAGAGCCACATTTTGAAAGCGAGCCGCCCCCAATCCATAAAATGATTGCGCATTTTCAAAAAGAAAGGCCGCAGCGCTCAGGCGAGAGCCAGTCGTTTGAGAACCACCCGCTTTAAATCCGTTGAATTCTCCAGCAAATTTAAAAAGCTCAGGCGGGAATTGCATCTTGAAAGCCGCCCGCCCTCCATGTGTGAAAATGTTGCCGATGTTGTGGATTCCCAGGCGTTAATGCTTAGGCGAAACCGACCGGCCCTCCCTTTCGACCCGCCTCGGGGCGGGACAGGAAGGGGTCATTTATAAGCGAAAGAGAGTGGTGATGATGACCATGATGACCATGATGATCATGATTAGGATGAGGGTGAATGGTGCTTCCGTTGTTGATGACGATTGTTTGGATATTGATGAAGATGGTGAGGAGGATGAGTGGGATGATGAGGAGGGAGTGGAATGAGGTGAGCACGGAAATACAGATGTGGGGGTGGGTATAACAATGTCCCGCGCTTGTGCATGATTACGCTGTCAAAGCCTGTTCAGCGATCTCCTGCCCTGAGCTAGAACCTGAGTGCGTGCAAAATGCCCACGATGTTTCTAGTCTATGCGTGTGCCAATTTACCCACACATGCTTAGACATGTGCGTGCACGCATACATATTTACACATCGGAGTCGTTGCACAATTCGTATCGTTCTTCATGGTCGGAACACGGGTAGCTCGCGGAACGCAAGCAGTGCCATTGCATAATGTTGAGTTTCGTTGTTTGTGTTTGCGTGTGCAGGCCACCTTTTGTCCAAAACTTACGTATACAGTCCCTAGCGCCCCGCGGCGACACAATGAGCCATGGTGCTGTAGGGGCATGTATAATTGGGGATTGCAGTCGTGAGCAGTGTGTGTTTGGTGAATGCAGTCGTGCATAACAAAAGTCTAGACAGAGTAAGAGTTTTAGTGGTAGCACTGCCAAGGGGCCGTCGTGGCAGAAATGGAAGTGAACGTACACTCGTACCGATGTGGGGCGATTCTATAGTCTTCCGAGAGCTCTGGTGCCGTGAGGATGTTGATTGGCACGATCCCATGACGCCCATCTTTGCATGATCTTCATGACTTCCCATCATATTATTGTTCGCTGGCTAGTACACAACCTGTAAATTGGAAGGAGCTTTCGGGGGCCTTGGGTCCTTGGAAGACCTGAAACAAGTACCCTTCGAGGCCCCAACACAAGGCAAATATGCCCGATTATCAGTAGTTATGTGGGAGTTGCCGTTCAGGCTCAAGCCGTGGGGGTGGGGGGGGGCATACTTTCTCTGGGCGTGTGATTTGCATCTCCGTGGTATGCATGTCCAGCGAGCCCGCGGGAGTTTGGGCCACTGCGGAGGCGTTCCTCAATGATTGCCTCCGACATGGTCGGGCCAGCTGCTACCGAACTGATCACGATTTCAGTTGGACCGCTATCGGTGCCGGCGGTAGCCCCGACGACTGCGCGCCGAGCAGGCGAGAGAGAAGCATCCGTTTTTGGGGGTTGCTCTCGCTCGGTCTGGGGCTGGCGTTGATGGGCGCCGCCATGATTATCCAGCGCGGCCGTTTCGACGAGAACACGCATCTGTCGCCGGGACCTAAGGTCGACAGTGACGGGGAGAGTCAGGAAGTCATCGGAAACGCTTCGGGGGATGCTGCGCCATCTGATACATCCACGATCCGGGCCAGCACACCCGGCTTGAGTACTTGGCGGGTAGTTTTCCACGGGCCTGTCAACGTGCAGAAGATGCCAGAGTCTGGCGCGCCCATCGTACAGGTAGCGTGGAAATGTGACCTGCTGCGGGGGAGACGGATGCAGTATTGGTTAGAGGTGGTCAACAGCGTAGGGGACATCGCCGGCTACTCTCAGATCGGCTTCAACGACTTCCCCTTCCTGGTGGAGGACACGTCGGAGCAGGGCGCGCTCTGTGCGCCGTGCTCGGACAATGCGACTTGCAAGAGCATCCAGTGGCAGGTCAGGTACCCTGGCCATGTCGTGGTCTACTCAGAGCCGAACCACTCTGCCGAAGCGCTCGGCTTGATGTGGAAGTGCGATCTCGCCCATGGGTATCCCATCCGCGGAGGGTGGCTCAAGATAACGGGAGGCAAAGACTGGAAGACGGCCTATGTCCAGATCTTCCATAATAACAACCTGACGCACCGAAGCAGAGATCCGACCAGAGCAGCCAGCGAGGCCGACGAGGCAGCGCTCGCCGAAGTGACCGCCGCCGACGCGAGGGAGATGGCCTGTGACGCGTGCGTGGAGGGCGAAGGCGTCAGCTGCCAGGCTGCGCGGTGCTGCAAGAACCCTGGCCAGGCGTGCTACCAGTCGACCGACGGGAAAGCCTCGTGCAGGTATCGGGGGCGGCAAAGAGGGGGGTGACGACTGGGGATCTCATGGCGGGGGCCATGAGATCTCCCCCCAGATGTCATGGCGCCCCTTCTTGTTCCATGACGTCCCCGGCCCCCCCTGGGGCCGCGCACATGCCGCCCCCCTCTTGGCCGCTCCCGAAGGTACGCCTGCACCCCGAGCGGCGAGGACCGGTGCCTGCAGCTGGGCGCCCGCAGCTGGGCGCCGCAGCTGCCCGGCTTCCCCACGCTCTACTGCTGGCAGCTCGCGCGGCCCGACGGCTACGAGCCAGGCTGCAGTCGGGCGTGCCCCTCGAGGAAGGAAAAGGAACCCATCCCTCGACCCCCTCGCCCCTTTTCCCCTGTTTGGGCCTCCTGGGGGGCTCTCGTCGCCACCGCTGGATTCGCCTCGAAATCCTGGTCAGAACGCACCCCGGGAGAGGTCCGGGGAGTTGCGGTATCGGTACCCTCTGGTTTCCCCATAAGTCGGGCGTGTCCAGGGGGAATATTCAAAAAATACGAAAAATAGTCTGGGGATGATTGCGAAGGCCTTACGGCCAGTGCCGCCGACCCTGAGAACGACTAAGATGAAAACGAGGGGGGGCAGGGGGAGGAGGATGAGTGGGAGGTGAAGGAAGGGTGGGGGAGGTGAATGAGGGAGGAGGAGGGGGGAGAAGGACGTGGAGGAGAAGCAGGAGGAGAAGGAGGCAGAGGTGAGCAGGAGGAGGGGGAGCAGAGGTGGGGGGAGGAGGAGGAGGAGGCGGAGGAGGATGAGGAGGAGGAGGAGGAGGAGGAGGAGGAGGAGGAAGAGGAGGGGAGAGAAGGAGGAGGAGGAAGAGGAGGAGGAGGAGGAGGAGGAGGAGGAGGAGGAAGAGGAAGAGGAGGAGGCCAGAGGCTTTCTTGGGACAGCCTGGGGCTCTCTTGATGCCGTCTTGGGCCGTCCAGGGCTCCTCTTGCGCCGTCTCGAGGCACTCTTGGAGGCCTCCTGGGCAATTTGGGGTTCTCCTGGGCTGTCTTGGGGCAGTCTTGGGGGCCACTTGGGCCGTCTTTGAGGCGTCTTGAGCCGTCTTGGGGCCCTCTTCGGCCGTTAGGGGACCCTCTTGGGGGCCTCTTGGGCCGTCTCGGGGCGATCTTGGGGGCCTCTTGGGCCGTCTTGGCGCGTCGGGAAGCGGAAGAGGCAAGAACGCCAAAATCTGTCAACAACGCATGGAAATACATGGATTTTGCCTCTTGGGCCTCTCGTGGGAAAGCTCCTGGAGGCTTCTTGGGGCGCTTTGCAGGCCTCTTGGGCCGTCTGGAGGCCGTCAAGGCGTCTTGGACAGATCGTTCGGCGATTCGGGGTTCTCTTCGACTGTCTTTGTGGCCCCTTGGGGCACTCTTGGCCCGTCGTGGGGCTTTTTGGGGCTCCGGGACTCCCCGGTGAGGCGTCTGACCTCCCCCTCCCCGGGACCCCCCCCTCCACCCCCTCCCCCCCCGGCGGGGAAGGGATCGAAGGGAAGGGGCTTCCTTTCGACTCAATTGCGACGTTGCTCAATTTCGCTTGAGTTGGCGCGCTGAGGAGGTCCCTGGAAAAGGGGGGAGCTTCGACGAGCCCAGGGAAAGGGGGAGGCAGGGAAAGGGGACGACAGAGACGACGACCAACGAATGACGGAGATGACGACTTGAACGCACAAGCCCCTCACACACGCCGACAGGGTCGGCGGATCATCTTGGGAATTGTTTGACTTTTTTTGTCGCCCTGAATCCCCACTGTAGGGGGACACGCCCGACCTAAAACCAGGCCTGGTGAAGGAGCAGGTCAAGCGGGGTGCCGGCATCTTCGCCTGCGACGACTTCGACGTCTTCTCGATCCACGGAGACGTGCCCCTGGGCAGGACGCCGGCGGGCAGGGACGTGCGGACCGTGCACTGCGTGCCGCACGACGTCGGCAGGTCGAAGGACAACACCGCGGGGAACACGGAGATCTTTCTGAATGCATGGGATGCTGTCAAGGCCAGAGACAGTTGGGGCTCGTATGGCTGGACCATCAAGATGGACCCGGACGCCGTCCTGGTGCCCAACCGGCTGCGCGTCCACATCATGTCCGCGGGGGCGGACGGCATGAAGAAGGGCGTCTTCTTCAGGACCTGCAACGTGCATCCCAAGAATCCCGACTACCCGATGATGTTAGGCGCTCTGGAGGCGATATCTCGCAAGGCGCTCGATACATTTTTCAGGGATGGCGACCAGTGCCAGCATTGGTTACCCGTGGCAGACTACGGGGAGGACCTCTTCATCACGAAATGCTTGCAGAGGTTAGATGTGAGCGCTCTTGACGATTACTCGCTCGTCGGCGACGACCGCTGCGACCGCTCGCTCGCCTGTTGGGATCACACCTTCGCGGCCTTCCACGCGTTCAAGAACGTTGTCGACTGGGTGAAATGTTGGGAGGACACCTTCAACGGTAGCTTCTGACCTCCCTCCTTTCAGTCCCCCCAGACATTAGGCGTCTCGGCTTTCTCGAGACATCCTCCCTTGGAACTCTCGACCCGATTCTTGGGGCGGGCCTTTCATCCCGAGCCATCCTGAACCGTCCTGTAATGGACCAGGTGCCCAGAATTTGCCTCCATGAGGCCCTCCCTCACCTCCTCCTCGTCCTCCTCCTCCTTCCTCCTCCTCCTCTCTCTCTCCTCCTCCTCCTCCTCCTCCTCCTCCTGCTCCTCCCTCTTCCTCCCTGCTCCTCCCCCTCCCCTCCCCTTTTCCTCCTCCTTCTCCTTCTCCTACTCCTCCCCCCCTCCTCCTCCTCCTCCTCCTCCTCCTCCTCCTCCTCCTCCTCCTCCTCCTCCTCCTCCTCCTCCTCCTCCTCCTCCTCCTCCTCCTCCTCCTCCTCCTCCGCCTCCGCCTCCGCCTCCGCCTCCGCCTCGGCGCCCCAGCTGCGGGCCGCGGCGTGCCCGACGACTGCCCCCGGGCGTGCCCTGGCGGAGCCGGGCCGGCGGGCCCAGCAGAGTCGCGGCGAGCCCGGCGTCGGATTCGGGGCGGTCAGCTCTTCTCGGGCCGGGCGAAGGGGGGGGATTGGGAGAGGGGGGGGTACGAAATTTGCTGCATGCAGCTGGTTTTGGCCTCACCGAGGGGCCCATTCCTCGATACATGGCCGCCTCCGGCGCCGGGAGGCTCCGAGAAAATCAGCTACGTGAGCTGATTCTCAAACCCCCCCCTTGCTATCCCCCCTTTTCGCCCGACCCGATCTTCAGGTCTCGGCTCAGGTCGGGCACGTCCCTCTACAGGAGGACGATTCGAAAAATAGTCGACTTACCCTGGCGACGTACCCAACCCCTGGGCGATGCGGGGCAAGAGCAGCTTGGAGGTTTGACGAGAAGGCGGCGACGTGACATGGACGCATATACTTCTGCGAGCGGCATTCGGAAGGTTCGCAGGTCTCCAATCAGGGGCAAAACGATGAGTAATTAAGTGATCCCCTGAGTCACTTAAGGAAGACGCAAGGTCCAAAAAGAGACTGGGCAAGGGGCTTGAAACGTCGGCGGGGCAGCAACAACATGACATGGCCGCCCAGGGACGGCGAGGTCCTGCTCAGGTCTGCGCGGTGCCTCGCTCCGTTGGACCCACCAGCAGCCCTCGAAAGTGGCGAGCCCAGCAGCAGCCCTCGAAAGTGGCGACGGTTTCGCAGATCGCACCCCACCAGGGACGGCGAGGTCTACCTCAGGTCTGCGCGGTGCCTCACCCCGCTGGACCCCCCAGCAGCCCTCGAAAGTGGCCACGGTTTCGCAGATCGCACCCTGGGAGGGCGAGGTCTACCTCAGGTCTGCGCGGTGCCTCACTCCGCTGGACCCACCAGCAGCCCTCGAAAGTGGCGACAGCTTCGCAGATCGCAGCCCCCCGGGGACGGACCTCAGGTCTGCACGGTGCCTCAATCCGCTGGACCCACCAGCAGCCCTCGAAAGTGGCGACAGCTTCGCAGATCGCAGCATCTCAGGGACGGCGAGGTCTACCTCAGGTCTGCGCAGTGCCTCACCCCGCTGGACCCCCCAGCAGCCCTCGAAAGTGGCCACGGTTTCGCAGATCGCACCCTGGGAGGGCGAGGTCTACCTCAGGTCTGCGCGGTGCCTCACTCCGCTGGACCCGCCAGCGCCCCTCGAAAATGGTCACAGATTCGCAGGTCGAAGCCTCCCCCCCCAGGGACGGCTAGGTCTACCTCATGTCTGCGCGGTGCCTCACTCCGCTGGACCCACCAGCAGCCCTCGAAAGCGGCGACGGTTTCGCAGATCGCAGCCCCCCGGGGACGGCGAGGTCTACCTCAGGTCTGCGCGGTGCCTCACTCCGCTGGACCCACCAGCAGCCGTCGAAAGTGGCGACAGTTTCGCAGATCGCAGCCCCCCGGGGACGGCGAAGAGAGGGCAGCAGGAGGGAGGAGGCGGGAGGAGGAGGAGGAGGAGGACGCAGCCGCAGTGCCCTATTCAAAACGAATGCCCAGCCAGGGAGGGTTGGGACAACATAGTTTGGGGACGGAGTGTGTTTGTGATACGTTTAAAACAGTTGGTTTGGGAGTGTTTGGGGCCTGTGCACTTTTTCGTTTAATTCCCGCCTGTCGAAGGACATGCCCGGCCTAAGTCTCGGCCTCCAGAGACCTTCTCTTTGTATGTTGTGGCAGACGTGCTCTGCCTTTGGTCTTGCGCCCGCTGCATGGTGCATAGTCCTCACAGCATCGCCCACGTGTGCTGTGAGAAGTCGCCCTTGCTGGCTCTAGTTGTGAGGCCGTCGAGGTCAAACAAACAAGACCGAGGACACGCGCCAAGATTTCCTGTTGTGCTTGACGCCTCGCGCAGTATGGCCGAGTGCTGGTGGCCGAAGGCCGCTGCGGAGTTGCTTTAACTTTTTAACTTCGCAGAACGTATACCGCCAAGATGCTGACACAGGGACCGCTTTGGGCTCGGCAAGGGGCTCGCTATTCCTTGAGCTCTTCCACGCTCGGGGCGTCGCTCCCTATTTCGAGCGCTGCTTCTGGTAGCACCTCGACTGTACGTTCGTCCCGTCCTATCCTCGGGCCCCTCGGGCACACGGAGAGCGTAGCCCCCCCCCCCCGCCCTCGAAGGAGGAGGAGGAGGAGGCGGCGGAGGAGGCGGAGGAGGCGGAGGAGGCCGAGGCGGAGGGAACGTATGAGGCGGAGGATGAGAAGGAGGAGCATCAGCAGCAGCAGGAGCAGGAGCCGGAGGAGGAGGAGGAGGAAGAGGAGAAGGAGGAGGAGCAGGAGGAGGAGGAGGAAGAGAGGGAGGAGGAGGAGGAGAGGGGGGAGGAGGAGGAGGAGGAGGAGGAGGAGGAGGAGGAGGAGGAGGAGGAGGAGGAGGAGGAGGAGGAGGAGGAGGGAGGAGGGAGAGGAGGAGGAGGAGGAGGAAGGAGGAGGAGGAGGAGGAGGAGGAGGAGGAGGAGGAGGAGGGAGGAGGAGGCAGCAGGAGGAGGGGAGGAGGAGGATGAGGGGGAGGAGGAGGAGGGGAAGCAGGATGAGGAGGAGGAGGGGGAGGAAAAGGAAGAGGAGGAGGAGGAGGAGGAGGAGGAGGAGGAGGAGGAGGAGGCGGAGGAGGAGGAGGAGGAGGAGGAGGAGGAGGAGGAGGAGGGGAGGCAACGCAGGAGGAGGGGGAGGTGGAGGGGGATGAGGAGTAAGAGTAAGAGTAAGAGTAAGAGTCCCTGGACGATGTCACTGAGGGGATGAGGAGGAGGAGGAGGAGGAGGAGGAGGAGGAGGAGGAGGAGGAGGGGAGGAGGGGGAGGAGGAGGAGGAGGAGGAGGAGGAGGAGGAGGAGGAGGAGGAGAGGAGGAGGAGGAGGAGGAGGGGAGGAGGATAAGAAAGAGGAAGTGGGAGGAGGTAGGAGGAGGAGGAGGGAGGATGAGGCAGGAGGAGGCTGGGGGTAGGCAGGTCGGTAGGTAGGCAAGCAGGTAGGTGGGTGGGTGGGTGTGTGGGTGGGTGGGTGGGTGGGTGTGTGGGTGGGTGGGTGGACAGGTCGGCAGGCAGGTGGACAGGGAGGTATATAGGTAGGTAGGTGGGTAGGTAGGTAGGCAGGTAGGTAAGTAGGTCGGTAGGTAGGTAGGTAGGTAGGTAGGTAGGTAGGTTGGTTGGTTGGTTGGTTGGTTGGTTGGTTGGTCGGCAGGTGGGTAGGTAGGTAGGAAGGTAGGTAGGTAGGTCGGTCGGTCGGTAGGTCGGTCGGTCGGCCGGTCGGTCGGTCGGTCGGTGGGTGGGTAGGTAGGTAGGTAGGTAGGTAGGTAGGTCGGTAGGTAGGTAGGTAGGTAGGTAGATAGTTGGAGGAAGAGGAGGAGGGGGAGGAGGGGGAGGGGGATGATGATGATGATGCTGATGATGATGCTGATGATGAGAGATGATGATGATGAGAGGATGATGATGATAATGATGATGATGAATTGATGATGTGATGCTGATGATTGATGGTGATGATGATGACGCGATGATGATGATGATGATGCTGATGATGGATGATGATGATGCTGATGATGAGGATGATGATTGATGATGATGAGAGATCTGATGATGATGATGATTATTTTATTATTCTGATCATTCTGATTATGATTCTGATCTGATTATGAGTCTGATTCTGATTTGATGAGGAGGAGGAGGAGGGAGGAGGAGGAGGAGGAGGAGGAGGAGGAGGAGAGGGGAGGGGGAGGAGGAGGAGGGCGGGGGAGGGGGAGGAGGAGGAGGAGGAGAGGAGGAGGAGAGGGAGGAGGAGGAAGAGGAGGAGGAGGAGGAGGAGGGAGGAGGAGGAGGAGTCAGGAGGATGAGAATGAGGAGGAGGAGGAGGCCGGAGGAGGAGGAGGAGGAGGAGTAGGAAGAGGATGGGGGGAGGAGGAGTGGGGAGGAATGAGGGAGGAGAGCGGAGGGCGGAGGGATGCGGGGGGAGGAGGAGGAGGAAGGAGGAGGAGGTGGAGGAGGAGGAGAGGAGCGAGGAGGAGGAGGAGGACGAGGGGAGGAGGAGGAGGCGGGGGAGAGGGGGAGGGGGGGGGGCGGGGTGTGAACGGAGAAGATGAGGAGAGGAGGAGGACGAGGACGAGGAGGAGGCGACGAGGGAGGAGAGGAGGAGGAGGAGGAGGAGGAGGAGGAGGGGAGGAGGTACGGTGAGGAGGATGAAGGGAGGGGGTGGCGAGGAGGAGGCGGAGGAGGAGGAGGAGGAGGAGGAGAATGAGGATGGGGAGGAGGATAAGGACTCCCATGGGAGCCACACAGAGCATACGTGGGGCCGCGAGGGCAATGACGGGCCATTGAGGGCAGACACGGTGCCACGAAGGGAGGAGGAGGAGGAGGAGGAGGACGAGGAGGAGGAGGACGAGGAAGGAGAGGAGGAGGAGGAGGAGGAAGAGGAGGAGGAGGAGGACGGGTAGGGGAGGAGGAGACTAGAGGGAGGAGGAGGAGGGGGAGGAGGAGGAGGAGGATCAGGAGGAAGGAGATGGCAGGGGATTGGAAGGGAGGGGGCGGGGCAGGGACAGGAGGAAGAGGAGGCGGAGGAGGGCCATGAGGGCCATGGGGGCAATGACGGGCCATTGAGGGC